CAAACTAGGTGATTAAAGTAAGGAAAATAAAATAAATCCTATTAGAGCAATAGGCTCATAACCCAAAGTATTGAGCAATTTGCCTAAAGATACTAGGCTAGACTTTTTGGGTGATAACTTCCCGAAGGAGTTCTGCTTTATGGAGGAAACTAAGGCAGATTTTAAAAATTACAAAAAATAAAGTTAACTTTTTCATTAGAAAAAGTGACATTAGAATTTCACAAAGTGACACAAGTTTAGAGAGTTCAAAGTCACTTCTTACTGAGTCAGCAGGGAAAGCTTCTAAAGGAAGTGCAATTTGACCTGTTCCTAAAGGATGGAATGGATTTTTGACAGAAGTGCTGAAGGGATGAGGATTGGGGAACAGCAAGTACAGGAAACAGGTAAGCAAATAGAGAGAAGCAGGAAATGCAGTACTTAAAAGGAAAAGTGAATAAATTAAATTTGGCTGGCGTATGTATAGATATGTGTAGGGTTTTATAACTGGTCAGCAAACTTTTTGTGTAAAGGGCCAGACAGTAAATATTTTAGGCTTTGCAGACCATATACAGCTACTCCACTCTACGTTTGTAGCAAGAAAGCAGCCATAGGCAATACTTTAATGAGTGAGCATGACTATGTTCTAATAAAACTTTATTTATGGACACTGAAATTTGAATTTCATGTAATATTCACGTCATAAAGTACTTTGATTTGTCCAATCATTTAAAGACCATTCTTAGATCAGGGCCATATAAAAAGAGGCAGCAGGCTGGATTTGGCCCACAAGCTGTACTCACCAACCCTTAGATTAGAAGGAAAAAGGGCTAGAAAAGAAATCAGGAAATTGCTCACTAGCTATATATAATTTCTCTGATTAAAAAAAAAAATCTCTTCTACTTGGAGCATCCAGGTGTTATAATTCTCTAACATATAAGTATTGTTTGGGATTTCTAAGATTACAGTGAAGACTGGGTATCCAGTAGTGTTGTTGGAGGTAGAGAATTTCCAGGAGATATAATCTGTGAGTCTCTTGTCCTAGTAGGAGGTAGAATAGACACCATATTCTTGGGGAGAGAAGGGGAAACGTGAGAGCACATGAGAGCTCAACATGTGAGCACAAACTTTAAATGATCCCACAGGAACTTGAGGATATAAACATTCATGACTGAGAGGGGAAAAGATTCAGAATTGATCTTTGTTTAAAAAAAAAAAAACTTTTCTAACAGTTATATATACATTGGCTGTCCCTTTATCTAATATGATTAGAACCAAAATTTGGTTAAACAAAAAGTTGGTTAAAGTTGGGAAAATATAAAAATGGTTCATACAAACCTGAGAATTTTCATAACTTAACACACATGTGCAGATTCACTAGCTTTGGTCACAGGGCCAAAGCTTTCTTTGTCTTTAACTGAGGGTCTGCTACATGGAGCTCCACTTTGTCTTTCTTTCATCGAATTCTAACACTAAAATACCAAGTTAGTGCATGAATATTCTGACAACAATACTAAAGAAAAAAAAAAGTGGAAGAGCAGGGAGGGAAGAGTGAGGAGTGGATTTGAGTTACAGACTTTCTCTCATACATATTCTTTTCATCACTCTTTCAAAATCAGCCTAATCCCAATAATATAAACTTTCAAGTTTTTCTTTTAAATCAAAGATAGTGAATCTCATTAATGGTAAAATATGTAAAAATTTGTTCTTAATTTTGTATGTTAATTTACTTTTCATAGTTCACTGCTTAATAGATATAAGATTTTTTAAATTAAAAGCATTTTCTCCTGAAAGTCTCCTTATGGAATACATTATACTGGGCATGTTAATAGCCATAGTATAAAATTTGGGCTTAACCTTTTCTAGAATAT